AACTTCCTCATTAATAAAGGTTTTTGGAAATTAAATTTGACGGCAGTAGTGCATTTTTTAACATTATAAAAGTAACTGTCAATAATTTTGATTCAAAATTTCTCTTCCTTAAAGTCCTATTGTTTCTTACAAAGTACTGGTAGTATTTTAAGTTTCTTTAAAATTGTTCATGCTATTTTAGACACATTAGCTGAGACAATTTCAGCTAATGTTAAATGAGTACAGTCAAACCTGTTTTCAAACATAATTCGTAACTAAAAGTTGTTCTGAAATCAATTTATTCTAATACTGAAACAAATTTTTCCATAAGAAACAATACAAAATGGATTAATCCATTCCTGACCCCTAAAATTAAGCCTTTTTTTTACCTTTTTAGTTGCATTTGTTACTTTTATAAAAGATGTTTGTTAAAAGTTTTTGCATTTAATTAATACTGTTAAATATCTTACTGAGTAGGTTGTTTGACAAGTGCAATTACTAGTTCAAAATTCTGTTCATGAACCAATTTCTTTGAAGTAAAATCATTCAAAAATTGAGGTTTGCCTGTATTTAATAATGAAAATCAGAATACTTTTCTTATCTATGGAAATGATTAATCTTCATCCAATTTTGTAAGAGATAGATTGAAGACTACTGATCATATCTACATTAAGTTTTAAACTTTATGTAATACATTTTGATTTTTACAAGTTTTTTTTTTAACCAAAATTTGTATATTAATTTAATTCTATAATTATATAAACCATACTTTTTTCTATATTTATTCTTTTGTTATTAATAATTTTAACTCAAAGTATTTTTGACTGATTCTCCTTAGTAATGCTCTTTTGCTAATGACATTCTAAATGACTTGTAGTTTGTTCACAATATAATTTTTATGTGAATTACATTGTTTATCACAGTATTGTGAATTATAAAATTTATTCTTCATTTCCCTGTATAAATTTAGTAGCAGATTTGAAAATAGTAAAATGAGTTTTAATATTTAGATAAAATTCTAAATCTTCCTCAAGTACTTTGGAAGATGTCATTCTATTTTCAATGACTCAAATTTGCACTTGTGTAAACACAGATTAAAATCACAGAAAAATGAGTTTGTGAATTTGTTATTTGTTAGCATTGTAGGATCTTTACACGATTTTAATTTTAATAAAATATTTGAAATGACATTTTAAAAATGATTAACCAAGCTGTCTTATTACACAATATGAACATAAAAAAGATTTCATAAAAACATGCAAATTATTAAAATAAATGCTAAAGATAATGTTAATTGCAAAATCAGCTTATTATTGTTAACAAGCAAAATATCTACTATTTAAAGTTATCAAATAGCATTCTTCAAAAACTGGTAGTTAATATTTGTAATACTTATACTGTAGTTTTATTAGAATATCACAAATAAGCTATCTGCTACAAATAAATATTTAATCCTGGATTCTTTTTCTAACTATATACTGAATAAAATAAAAATGTAAAATTAAGTAGTTTTCAATTCTGTCATGTCCAATCACCAAGAATAAAACAGTCTTCCTTTGCAGAGATGATCTTTTATTCAGAGGCTACACTTTTGCAAAACAGTTAAAACATTCACCAATGTTTTGTTCTTGGTGATTAGACATGATAGGATTGATGATTATTTAATTCTATATTTTTGATTTGTGAAAATACTGTCTGACGTTTTTAATTGAAATTATGTATACTAAATAGTTAGTTATAATAATATTTAACATGAAAACTTTATATAAAAATATAATTTGTTTTTCTCCTAAAGCTTGAATCAGTATTATTTAATTTTTTTCTTTCAATATAGCAAAAGTATGTCCAATTAATAGAATATAAAAACAAAACTTAGACTTTTTCATTTCAATCTACATATTATGTAAGGCATTTTATTGTTAAGGCATAGTTTATGTACATTTTTCACACAAAAACTAGTGGAAATCATATGGTGCAGAATGATTGTAAAATAATTATATTAAAATATACTAAAAGATCTCATTCCATTTTTGTAAAAAAATCAAATTATTTTTTAAAACTTTATATGCTACATACTATTTTATAATTTCAGTAATTTAAAAATGTAGTATTCATCTTATCACGAGTTCTATAAGTTAATTTTTTACTAATAACCAGATTAAAACAAATCAAAATATTATAGTCTAATTAGTAGAAATTAAGAGTTTATTTTTTAAAACTTTATATGCTACATACTATTTTATNTATTTAAATGCAGATTTGTAAATATTTCTTATAATTTTAAAATAAAAATGCACGTTACATAAGTAAGTGTTTGCTAAAGTTATCTGAAGTTCAAACAAACAAAATTTTTAGTAATTTAAAATTTTTTAAACAGAATTTAAGAACCAAAATAGTTGCAGAAATATTTTAAATTTTATCTTAATTTTAATTCCTTACTGCTACGTTTTACTGCAAATTTTCTCAAGTTTAACATTAAGTTCATGGAACGTTTTCGTGTAGCTCGTAGTGGCCATATCTAATCACAGTGACTTATATCACTAAAATTCTGTCGGCTGGGCGAAATTTACTAGGTTCATAAATAAAGATTGCCTTTTGTATTTTGGCCGTATTTTAAGTTTCAAATCCTTCAAAATTTAATATATATACAGCACGACAAGTTAGACTGACACATCTCTGCGAATTTTCCTACCATAAAACATTTTTCATTTTCCTCCTATGGGCGCTCTATTCAGTACTTACACACCAAACAGAATTTTGGGTGCGATTTCTTTCCATTTTGGGGTTTAGGAAGTATCAAAAAGTCGACAAATGCAATGAGGACAGGAGCGTCAAAATTTGACCTATCACCATATTTTCCCTGTGTCATATTCTATAACAACAGGTAAAGTGAAAAATATAACATTAATAAAAATTGAAATGAATTAAGTAAATAAACAAATCGATAACAAAAGCATCCGATCAAAATTAAGTGCTTCTTTTTTTTACCATAGCTTCCATAGCTTTCCATTCAACTCAACTAATAAAGGAATTTGATAAAAAATTTGCCTTGTGTCTTTGGAATAAAACACAATACTAGTGTTTACTACGCCACAAATTAAGTGCTTCTATTATCAGTTGCTTAATTTTTAAATATAAAGTAAATGCTGCAGCCTGATCCTTTGGACAACTTCCAATGAAAATATGCTGATCAATGGGATAGCTGTGTGAAGTATTTCGAATATTTTTCAAATGTCTAGTATCTAAATAGAGACCAGAATTCAATAAAAAAATCCTCCCGAGAGGTCGTCACATTGTAGGCCTAGCTGGGTCCACTCTAGGCATAGAGGCCCATCGATCAGCTTAGTGCCTAGACTCAGAAATGGAAGAGAAAATACATAAAGATAATATTCAGAAAAGTGTTTAATAAAATCCACAACGTCTTCCTAAATGCAATTTTACAATGTGGAAGAATACCTTCTCCGTTTGTAGTACCAAATGTGGTTAACTTTAAACGATCTCTGAAATACAAATAAATATCCATTATTTAATTATTACACTAATTCTTATAATTAAGAGTTTTATTAATTATAAATTTTTCAGAATTATATTAGTTCTATCATTTGAAGATTCCATAAGCTTTAAAAGATTTATGTGGAAGTTTCAAAAGCTTTCATTAGTTTTATAAAAATTTCCATAAAAGATATTCCATATAGAAACTTCCAAAGATGGAAGTAATATAATTCCAAAAACGTTTAAGAATAATAAAACTCTTGTCTTCTTATTAGCTAGGCTACAGTATTTTGTTCTTAAAAAAAGGATAATAAATGTTACTTATCTTTTTAATATTTTTATATACTTTCCTCATTTATTAGCCATTAATGAAAATTTAATAATCAAATATGAATTACTAGTAAAATATTAATAAATAGTTATAATTCAATTTTATTCATTTATTCTACTACTATAAAATACTTATTTCAAAGAGTTTTTTTCTATCTTTCATGTAATTTGAAATAAAAATTTTAGATAATAAAAATTTTTAAATGAAATACATTCAAACTATACAATATTTTTTAAAATTATTTTACTATTATAATTAAATAATGGCATATAAAATTAGTTTGTGCTCTTTGAGATGAAAGACAATAATAATTCTTAAAACAATATAATAATGATAATAATGAAATGTTCTGAAAATAATGAAAAATTTTAGTAAAATATTCAAAAAGATAAGGTAGAAATTTGGGTAAAAAAAATTTCAGAAACTAAGAAAAACTTAATAATGAATTTTACAATATCAATTGCTGGTTTAGCTGTTGTTGAATTTTTATTTAATATTGTATCTTTCATCTGTTAAGAGTTAAACAAATTTATCATATTTAATTACAATGAGAAATAATCATCATAGCATTGATTAAAAATTTTTAAATTCTTTTGAAAATATTTCATTTTTATTGATTAATATTTAAAAATTAGGAAAAAAATTATTTAATATGATAAGCAATGCAAGATTAATTTGATGGAGATTTAATAATAATTTTATTTGAAACTATTAAACAGTAAAATATTAATGTTTAATTTAAAATTTACATGTGGTATTTTTTTAGACTAAAGATAATTTATATTATAAATTCATCATACTTTTCTAAAATTTCAAAAATTTTTGCACTTAGTTAATCAAACAATATAACAAATTTAGTAAAATGTTTTTCTAAAGGTTAAAAAAAAAATCTTATAACAAATTTATATTTAGGTATTTTTTTCTTTATAACAATACATTAAACTCATTTTATTAAATATTAGTCATCACAATGCTAAGAATGATGAAAGTAATTCTAGCCATTATTTATCTTAGAAGAGGAATGGTAGTAAAGTTTAAATAGAATTATAAAAAAAAATTCAATGAAAATTCTTCAGACTTTTCTACCACACCTCTGTAATCATTTGAAAATGAGAAACCCTATAAAATATTGTTATATTATAATTCATGAAAAAAGCCCCTGAAGCATGCCCCTTATTACGGCCCATCCCTCTCTCAGGTGTTTGGAAATATCGAGTTTAACCCAGATACAGATATGAACAAGCATAACAACTTCCATTCCTTTATTCAATCATTGATGCTGTTATTTAGGTGAGTCTTTCAAGATAACTTGCCCAGAAATTCATCATCATTCGTCGTTGCATTTTTAATTATATGGCCAACTTTCAAAATAAATAAAATAAATAATGAAAAACTGTGCACTTTTTTAAACAATAGGATTTAATTTACAGTTATAGATTTTAGTATTGTAATAACCATGCTTATTTAAAAAAAATCTATTTGCAAATTTTAGTTAAACATTTAATTCTGTCTCAGAGCATGAATCAAATTAATTCACTTTGCATTTAATAAATATTTGAATAAGCATGGTAAGTTCAAAAAGAAATTCATCATTTTCAACTTTTTCACAATATTGCACTGCTGTTTTAGTTAGATTTGCTATGATTAAAAGGCTGTGATTAATCACCTGAAAATATGTATCGTGCAAATAGCTTTGTGCTGCATGAATATTTAGCACAGTTTTTATAATCAAAAATTTAAGAAAAATGCAACGATGAAAACTTCTAAAATTATTAAAACAATATCTATTTCATTGCTTGCTGTTTTTTTTTTTTTTACTCAGAAGAATTAATACCTTTTTTTAGTTGAGATAGCATGATAATATCAGAAATCAATAGATGTATTTTAGAAATATTTTTATATTCTAAATTTTGTTTTTTCCATTCATCTGTTCCATTTATTATTAATGACAATAATAAACACACATCACAACATGCACACTACTGGACATCAAACTTTAGACTAAAAATCTTTTGTATTTCCTGAATTTATATAAATGAATCAGTAGCTTTTACTTAACATTCCATTTCTAAACTCTATACAGGTATTTGGTAATATAGAGATGAATGCAGAAAGTGCTATTACACGTCATAATAATTTCCGTACGTTTTTTCAAGCCCTTATGTTATTGTTCAGGCAAGTGTTTAGTTCATAAATATCAATCAATGGAACCAAATTACTGTTTGTTTGTATCCACGTCACTGGCCAAATGATGCTTCAGTTGGTTGCATGCTTGTATCACTGCGTCCTTATATCCGTCAATGGCTGGTCCATCACAAAGTTTCACCTCAATGAAAATTATTTATAAAGTGCTTAATAATTAGTAAATATTATTATTATGATGATTATTATTATTGTTTAGAACATATTATTAAATTATTGCTTTATTAATTTATCAAATTTGTAATATATTATTCAAGATCAAGAATATAATTGACTTCAATAAAAAAAAAAAAGTGAATATAATTTTTGAAAAATAGAAATGTTTTACAGCTTTTCAATGTAATAATTATTAAGTATTTTATTTATTTATTTTCTAATTCATTAAGTAAACTAAAAGCTCCATTAATCCAAATCAATTATCAATAAATATTATGAATAAATAATGCATTTTAGATTACATTTCATCAAATTCTAGACTCAAGAATTTCCTTCATGAAACATTTAAATATAAAGTTTCTTCAATACAACTACTGAATAGATGAATGCCAGTAAAGACGAATAAAAGAACGCAGGGTTCTACAATCAGGTGACCTGGTGTATGTGTCGTGTACGTGGTGTCGGTGTCGCTTTACTGAACACTTCTTAACTTCACACAGTATAAAACACTGTTAAATTAGGGTTGTGGTTGCACTTTGCACATATATTAAAAAGTTTCAAGAAAAGATAATATAAAAAGTGAACAAAAATATATATGTATATATTTAAAGTAATTTAATCAAAAAAATAAATATAAAAAATTGGAAGAACAATTTGGACATTAAATTTTAATTAACAAGATGAAATTCTCAGAGTAAGCAATTTCTATTTTTATTTATAATTATGAACATTTTACAAATTTTCATTATATATTTATCAGTACAAATATATATTCTACCTCATTAACTCCAATGTCTGCATAGCATGTATATTTTGATTATTGCATACACTTAATGTTGTGTTGTAATTGCATGTGTTTGTTTTTAGCATGAAAAAATAAATATGGTAATTGTTGCATGATATTTAATTGCATATAGATGTGAATTGCATGCTCTGCCTGTTAATTACAAATTTAGAATTAATTCATATAATTTTATCATATTTCATATTTCTAAATCTAAACAATTCATGTAATTATTGAACTAATGATTCCATATTGGAAAACTGTTTTGCTATAGATGTGCGACTGGGGAAGCTTGGCAATCCATTATGATGTCATGCCTTCAAGGACAATCATGTGATCCAAAAGCAAATAAAAAGGCTAAAGAATGTGGCAGTAACTTAGCATTTATCTATTTTGTTAGTTTTATTTTCTTCTGTTCATTTCTGGTAAGTATAAAAAATGATTTAAATGTATTTTTAATTAAATAAAATAATTATAGTAAAATACTCAGTATTTTATATTTAATTTGACCATTTTATTTCCTTCGATCATTTTCAGACTTTTCATTATATCATCAGAAACTTAACAAAATTTACTTGTTGCATTGGATGGTCAGTTTGAATATAAAATAAGAGAACATGGGTTTAATATCTTCAATAGTTACTTTTACATTAACTATTAGTGGCTTTTGTGTTCAATAGCTTTTTTCAATAAATTTTTAAAATTAGCATCAATTAATTGGTAAAATATTTATAAAACAAACCATTATAAGTACAGTATGGCATCTACTTATGAATATTCAGTCTATAAGAATTCAATACATGCTGTTTGCTTTTATATTTATTTATTTTTATATATTTAATTGTATGGAATATTTAATGAAATATTCCATACAACTAGCACTACTGATCATAAATGTGATGAAATTGGAATTCCTGAGCACTGATTAGATGACTCGTAAGTTTTAGTCTACATTTTCTTGTTTTATTCACACTGTCTTCATTTACAAAATAACAGAAGCCATCGTGTTTCTGACAAAGACTTATAACTACTAATTCACTTCCCCAAACAATCATTATCACTTTTTTATCAGTTATTACAATTTCATTAATAAAAAAACTAATTTTATTTTATTCTATTTTACTTTATTGTTTTAACTATAAGATAATAAGAAAAAACTGAACAACACTGATGCTAAAAAACAAATTTTTAAGGCATTAACAGACTATTTTTATTTATGAATTAAACATTTATCAGGATATTAGTTTCCACCATTATACAGATTAGAATAGCATTTTTCTACAACCACTTTTTGTTATTTAAAGTTTAAATATTTAAATTTTAATTTTGCATTTTATCTTTAACTACATCTTAAAATTATATGATGTAATCAATATTTAGCATTTCTGCATCTCATTTGCATTGTGAAAATGCCTATATAAACCATTAATTTTCAACTCATATATAGTTGGAATTTGAATTTATGAAATGTTGTGTGAAAGTGATTAATCAGCTATAAGCTATTTTACTAGTGCATTACTGCTTTAATTCAAATTGAATAAGAATTTAGGTAGAAATTTTGAGTTAATTGCTAAAATTTATTATTATTATTATTATTCAAAAATCAAACTTACAGAATTCAGTTTTTTAAATTCAGTGATTGATTAATTTTTCTTTAACATAAGTTTTATAATTGTTCTATTTTAGTTACCATTAAACATAATAATTTTACATGATTATGATTATTATTCTATTGGCTATTGGAACATGAATTCAGTTCATGTTATAAAACTATAACATGAACTGAAGTCTCACTAAGGTAGTATTATTTATTCATAAAAAATAATACTAAAAAAATAATTTTATAGTTTAAGTAAAATAATATATTTATTTAATAAACAGCACCTCTAACAGTGTGCTGTCTAACAGTTGGAGGAAATAAGGCTTTTCAGCATAGATAGATTTTCAGCATTCGGTTGGTGTGTAGCTTTATTATATATCGGGTTTAAAGATGTTTGGAAATAAGGCTTATTGTAAACTGAAAAATTTCATATTTTATCCAGCATTATCACCCTTACCTTATATTAAAATAAAGTGTGAAGTGTGCTGAGTGTTATGTTGTTAAAAAAATAATAATAAAATTAAAAATTTACCAGATTTATTCCATTAGTCACTCTCAAATAGTAATTGCAACCAATTTCTCAAAGAATAGAAATAATTACTCTCTTAATAAANATTCATATCAGTTATTCGTCAATTATTATTATTCACAGTATTATTGATAAAATTGAATTAAAAATAAACCAATTACATAATTATTTCAATAATTGCACATATAATACATTTTTATAATCCAAATGCTAAACTATTGTTTTATTTAGCATAATTCTTATCATTTTATAATATTTTTATGTTATTTTCTGAAAATATTTATTTAGAAATGTTTTCAGTTCCTTATAAAGTCATATCAGATAACCACAAATGCAAAAGAATAATTTCTTGAGACCATTATGTCTCATCATCAGGTTAGAATCTGATGATGAGATAGTACTCTCCAAAAAAATATTTTTATCAAATAATTAAATAAACTGACTTTTTGAATATTATTAGCAATGTGTCTTATTGATGATATAAAATAGATTTTTTCAACAACAAAGACTATTTTCAACAACATCAAAGATCATCAAATTGTAGACTGATAAATTCCCATTGTCATTCATCTGTCTGTCCATTCTTAATCTCAAGAATGGAATTAGATAGTTGAAAGTGGAGATGAGATATGGAATGCTTAGGGACAGGAGGCCCAATTAACTATATACAAACTTCAAGTTTGTACCAGAAGTCATGTTATTTCAATTCAAAAATTTTCCCCTGAATGGGTTAGATAGATGACCAACAAGACTCTATTGCTAACAGAAAAAGTGTGATATACAGGGCAAGATACTGCTAAAGAAAATTGAGAACACTGTGACAAAAAATTGCAGTCTGGCATTGTGACACTGTCATAATAAATAATTGCTCATTTTTATTAAATTCAAATGACAACAATAATGCATATTAACTAGATAAAATTAGAAAAAAGCAGAAATTTTTGTGTTATTGTTCTTAGTCTTGAAAGATAAAATATAATATTTATTACAGTGAAATTCCATTAACCTGGCATCTGGTATACTAGCAAATCTGATAAGACAGCATGTCAAGCTCATCATTGGGGGAAGTTATCGGTGCATTGGATAGGTCCTGAGTTAAGATTTTTGTGTAAAAGTGCTCAAAACATGCGTTCTGGAAAAGGGTGTAGGTTCTCCTTTTAGAGGTGACAAATTTCATACCAAGCAAACATGTACCACAAATTAAGAAGGTTATCTGAGCTGCCAGTTGCATTAGTTGTGTAACATTTTCTTGAAAATTTGATGAGAAAGAGCTGTAAGTGTTATAGATCTAGTGTCTTCTGACTCTGAAGTATTAAAAGCAGATGACTAATCAAGGGACCAGAATGTTTATCAGTGGGGTGCCATCCTTGGAAGCGGTGGAAGCGTCACTTCCTTTGTATTTTCTAAAATATAAATACATATTGTGCAATTATTTTCATATTTTGACGTACTTTGAATTAATCAAAATTAATATTTTATTATAATCGCACTATGTATCTTATTACAAATTTCTATACTACATGTGAAAAAAACTATAAGCTTGCTATTGTATATTCGAATATCAGTGGTGGAATGGAAACTCTGTATTGTCAAATACGGGACAGCTTCCATGCAGCCAGATTTTACCCATTTGTGCATGCGCTTTATAGAGCACCAACCTCACCCGTGGAACGGGTGAGGTTGGTGCTCTATAAAGCGCATGCACAAATGCAGCTCAACCTCGTTTAGCTGGTGGAAGCTACACACATATAACGCTTCCAATGATTATAACCTGGACCGGTTCCGGGCTGTTAGCTGCCTGCCTGCTAGATATTTGGCCACCCTCGCCCCATTATGTGAATTGTGAGTAGATTTATAACTTAACCCAACTGATAGAAATTTACTGGTATGTTTTTATGATAGTTCTGTATAGTTGACAGGAGTTTTAAAAAATCCATTAAAATATTTGATATTTTTATTCTGCTCTCCCATCTTATATTACTTACAGGTTTCAATGTTAAACCAGTGATATTATGATTTAGTGTCTCATCTATAAGGGGATGCAGAAAAAAAAAAATGTGTACAATTTTTGTACAATGTTAAAAAAATAAACTGTTACTTTGGCAGCATCATTTACAACCAAATTTAATGAATGAGATGCATGAGGTACAGAAAAAGCTCTAGAATTTATTTTCCTTAAATTTACGATTTATGTATCCATTGTCATAAAAATTTCTCTCTCCACTTGTTTCCAAGACTACAAATATTCGAGTACAAAGTAACTGGTTTCAATTTATTTCTACTTAAGAAGTAGTTATATAATTAAGAAATTAGGGAATTAGGGACATAAATAAAATCCTGCTGAAAGAGCTAGAATATTACTCAAACAAAAGCTTAACTGAACCAATCTCCAGACAAGTACAGTAGAGACTGATTTCTTCATAATATTAGATGTAATAAAGACAGAAATTTTTTCATTTCAATGAGAGTGACTGAAAAGTAAATTTTGGAAATTTCCGTGGACACCTGGTCCTAAAACAAATTAGTTAGAAAGGAAACGACGGACAATCTATTAAGTATACTTGCTTACTGGAGAATTCAATAAAACTTAAAAATAAAAACCATTCAACTATCCAGCATAATTCTTTAATAACATAAAAATGTTTTCAAATGCATTAAGCATTCATCATCAGTTATTTCTCTAATTTGAAACGGGAATTCGAAAAATTACGCAATCGAATTTCAAATAAACAGTTATGTAAAAAATTAAATTGTAACATGCTATAAACGAAAATGATGTATACAAATTTCTGTGTATTTAATAAATAATAATAAAAATAAATAAATAAATATCTATCAAAGATCATCCTAAGTCCGTTATGCCTTTTATATAGATCTATGCTAATTCGTCGCAAAAAGATTTCCAAGCAGACGAAAGCCAGTCGGCATCCCTATAGTTGATACATTGCGTGCTCTTCTGTGCCCTGTGGATTTCCAGCTTTTCGAGATATTTTACCACGTGTCTAGATCTGGTAGCTTTTATTATAGAGGCCTGGCCTGTTTAGCATAAGTGGCAAGGATCATACTGTCAGCAGTTTTGCTCACCGAAAGCTTATGTTCATTGATTCTTTTTTTCAAATTCCTCAAAGTTGTGCCTATATATACTAAGTTAGAGTTGAACCTATGGTCTCTTAGCGGTATTGAGTATATTCCTGTTAAGGAGTTACGTTCATAGTGCCCTTTGTCATTCCTTAATATCCTGTATATAGTGGGATTACATCGATAAACTATTTGTAAGTTCTTATTTTTGGAAACCC